GGCCTTTAGGGAGAAGGAACTGGATGCTCAGGAGAGGCCTATGGAGACGCAGCAAGAGGTAACTATCTGCACACCCAGGAGAGAGGCTTCAGCAGGAATCAACCCTCACTACACTTTGATCTTGAACTTCCGCCCCGTAGTGGTGGGAAAATAAATTCCTGCTGTGTAAACTGCCTGGTCTGGAGTATTTTACTGTGGCAACTCTAGAAAACTATAGCAAGTGTGCACTGGCTCAATATCCAATCCTTCTGGGGAAAAAAGGGTACAGTATAAACACCCAAATAAAATATAAATAAATATTTAACTATAATAGTCCATATTCCTAGTACACTCGAGGAGAAAAGAGACCTTTTTGGTATTAGATGACAATAACAACAGCTAACAGCAATTAAGTGAGTACTTACTATGTGCAGGTACCTGATACACATTAGTTAAGCCTCTCACCAGCACCATAAGTAGCTGTTGCTACAATCTCCATCTTACAGATTACAAAACCAAATCTTCAAAAGGCTAAGTAACTTGCCCAATGCCACAAAGTTAAGTAGCAGCAGAGATGAGAGTTGAACCAAGGGCATCTAGTGCCAATCGCCAATTATCACACGAGTCTGGGATAGAAGGTCTGGACAAATACTTTTTCCCGGGATGTTCATTCATCCCCAACCTCCATCTGAAAGAAACAACTGCCTCTCCATCTGTGCTGCCTCTCATTAAGCATTCTCACAGTTGGACCATGTGTGCATTTCATCCTGCTAGCGAGGACCAGTGCATACACATAGCTCAGTGTCCATGTCTCGAATGTGCTATTTCTAGACTTCGTTACATCCAGCCCTGGAAACCAAATCTCCATCAGTCTGCAGCCCACCTCCCTCCTTGAGGTCACCTCCAGCTTCCACGGGCTTCCATGGCACCCAGTGTCTAGATAGAGAACATCTAGCCCTGTCATCACCACCGACATTGCCATGGGTGACGCCAACCCATGTCCACTCCCTCACACCCAGCACTAGCTCGGGCTCCCACGAAATACTCTGCTGCTCTCTGTCCACGCTGACCAGTGAAGGAGCTGGACACCCCTGGGCCTCACAGGATCAACCTGATGCCTCTTAACTCTGCTGAGGACCCAGGAAACTCTTAAGAACAGCTCCAAGGCATACACCTAGACAAACCTGATGCCTTTGCCCCTGTGCATTACAGGGCTCTACCCTGGGCTTTGCTAAAAGACAGCGAAGAAGAATATATCTGGCCTCAGACTCATCAATGTCATTCTTGGTATTTTTCATTCCTCCTCTCTCCCACTTGGATCAGCTGGGAAATGTGGAGGACGGGCATCTTCATCTGGATACAGGTTTGGCTGCTAGAATCAGAAACCAAAAATAACAGTGGCTTATGAAAAAGGGGGGGTCCTTTTTTTCCATGTACCTATGCAAGTAGACCACTCATGGCTGGTAAAGTGGCCCCATATCCATCAGAATAATGCTTAGGTAGCTCCTAATTTGTCATTCCATCAACCTCAACACACAGCTTACAACTATTTAAGATGCTTTTGAAGCCCATACTATATCTTCCTTATTTAAATTACAGGAAGGAGGAAAAAAGAAAAGGGGAAAATGTTTCCCTCAGGGTTCCAACTTGGAAGCTGGTTCTTTACCTCCACCCTCATGCCACTGGTTAGAGAATGGCTACGTGGTCTCCTGTCGCCACCAGGGAGGGTGAAAATTCTCTTCAGGCATGGGTCAAACTGAAGGACCCAAGTTAGCAAGACAGACTCCATATTGCTGCTTGACCCACCTGCCTGTCCTCTAGATGAACTCAGAAGGAGGAAGCTTAGAAATCTCCTCCCCTAGAAAGACCCTTTAGAAATAACAATCAACTATTGTTTTACAAATGTTCTAACAGCAGGACATTTCGCTTCTGTACCTTTTGCTTGCTTTGCTAGTTCTGTCCCATAGGGGGGCCTAGAAGCTGTTGGCCTCAAAGGTGTATAAAACATGTTTGTCTCCCCCTAGTCGATGCTCGAGGCCAATGCTAGGCTCAGGTCCCAGCCGTTAATAAACTCCTGTGTGGATTTAATATCAGTCTCTGTTTGGTACTTTCTCACTGGGTCTAACACTAACTACAAAGTTCTCCATTTTTAAGAAGGCAAGACCAGACACCAGGTGTATGGATTCAGCTTTCCGACAGCAGCCATTGTGAGTCATGACCACCATGACTGCCTCCAAGTGAGCCTGGGTGGGTTTCTCCACATAGTTTCCCAGAATGCTATAAATACGCAAACCCACTAGAGTGGTTTGTGGAGCTTTATGGCAGGACCTCGGTGCCATCAATGCCAGTGGTATGTCTGATGTCCTTGACATTAGCTTGAGACAAACCAGGTACATTCTGGCTTGAATGAAATCACTTTTGTCCTGACCACGGTGACCCCTTCCTTTTGATTCAAATCACAGCAATCCGCTTGTCCTGTTGCTGTCCAGGACCCTACTTCTGCCAGTAAATCCTCAATAAATTGCACTCTGTGCTACCCTGTCTGTCTCTTTCTTCCATCTCACAGCACCTTGGGGACAGTTCTCATGCAGTGGAAGTGGGCTTTTCAAGAACATCTGCAGCACACTCACCAGGGTATTACAAAGGAGGGATCAGAGCAGCTATCCTGCCATGCTCATCGTCCCAAGCCATCCTTTTTTATTTACCAGCTCTTCTCTCCCTCTCAACTGAGTGTCCTCAAAGCCATTGATCCTGAGCTTCTCTTTCTGCTCGTGGCTCCCCAAGCTTGACCCTAGCACACATCCTGGCTCATAGCAGATGCTCAGTCAGTGTTTATTTTCACCCTGACTCATTGTTCACTACACTGACACATTTTTAAGTGCCTACTTTGGGTAAAACTAAAGACCTCCCCATTCTTTGTTATTTCAAAAGCATTTTCCATGGGCAACTGTCAGCAGCTAGTGCGGGTCTTTGCTTTGGTGGTGAGAGATTTAAAGTGACGATATGAAGTTGCAGGTAAAAACTTTGATTGGAAGGTGAGAGACAGAGATGATAAAGAAAGGACTCCAGCTTGAGGAGTAGCTGGAGAGAGGGAGAGAAAGATTAGACTGCCCAAGTTAGCAAAAGAGTGGGAATCAGCTCTGTGGGGAGCCGTGGTGGTCAGGAGCGCAGGCAGCCACCATCTTGGTCCTGGTTTTGTAGCTCTGTTGAATACTTGTGATGAGGAGCAGTTCAGTTCCCAAGGGAGGAATCCCCGTGACCCGGGGCAGTCTCAATCCTATGAGGCTCTGCTGGAATCCAAGGTGACCAAGGGTTTAGGGCAATGGAGACTTCAGGCGTAGGTATTCTCAGTTCTACTTTTAGTTACCTATCGGGCAATTATAGGCTCAAATGAACAAACATGGTTTTTAACAAAAGTCACTTTTTAGCCCCTGTATAACCTAGAAGAAAGCGTGAATCACACTCTTACTGAGTAACACATACAGGGCCCAGGAGTTTGTGTCCAGGCCCTGTAATGGTCTCTGACTACATCTCGGCTATGTCACAACATTCTCAGGACTCTGAAAGGGAATTCATAAAGCCAGGAGATTTTTCCCAGAAGAAAACATCCCTCGGCTATAGAAATCAATATGGGAGCTCTGGCTGCCTTCTCTTAGTCTGGGAATCAGTTAGGAGGATACTTACGAAGAGGATGATGGTTTTTAGGAAAATAGAATTATCCTCTCTTTCAGACAAAAATACACAGATAGCCAGTCCAGGCTTGGTAAAGTGGCTCTGTGCTCAGAAGTCCTCAGGGAATCAAGTTCTTTGTATCTTGTTACTAGACTGAAATCTCAGTCCTTATGGCACCAGGTATTGGCTAAAGCTCCAGCCATCACAGTCGACTTCTGGCAGCAGGAAGGAAGAAAGAACGAAGCCCAGAGGTAAAGCATTTGCCAGCTCTCCTTTAGGAAATACTGTTGGAAGTTGCCACACAAAACTGTATTCCCATCCTAATGGCCAGAATCTAGCTGCATGAACACATTTACCTCCCAGAGAGACTGCATGGGCCTGAGTCATTTTGTTATTACTGGAGAATAAGGGGTATGGTAATGCAGAAGGCAGACCCAGTGTCTGCCACTGTAGGTTAGTTTGATCTTTGATTAATGTTGACAAAGTATTTGATAAATTAAAATATGCTCATTGCTTTATTCTCTTCATTCTGAGCACCATGTGAAGATGTAAAAGCAACTTCTCGCACCCGGCCTCCCTCTCATTGCAGGTGTAAGAAGGGGTTAGCAATGATGCCACTCAGCAGCTACCCCAGCACTCTCATATTCTTGATGTTCCCCACAGCCAAAAGGCGGCTCCACGCCTCGGTCACCATTTAGCCATTAGCAGAGACAGGGAAATGGGGGCAGAAAAGCAGTGAATAAGAGGGAAGCAAAGCCAGCACAAGCATAAAGAAAAAACACGGGGTTGATGGTTCATTGAAAAACATGAAACACTCATCTCAGGAGCTTCTTTTAAAAGGAAAAAGTTTCCATCTCCTTGGGTTTTAATTACAGGACTCTCATGCTCTAGGAGAGGTGGATCCAGGAGAAGTTGAGCAAGCAAACTACAATCAACACATCTGAGCACCAGAAAGCGAAAGAAGAAAGAGGGATCTTTTGGGACCTAAAGGCGGCAACTCTCTGTTCTTACAGTCTGAGAAAATGCCTGTTATGCTAGGAACATCCAGGTCCCGCCACCTTACCCAATCCCAGACAGGAGAACAATTCAGAAAACCAAACTGCTCAGAAGACAGCTGTGCCTGGAACATTTCCTCAGCCTTGGCTCTGACATGCAGGGTTGGATGATTTTTTGTTGTAGGCGCCTGCCTGATCACTGTAGGATTTTCACCAGAATCCCTGAACTGCAACCAGTAGATGCCTGTGCCACACTCCTCACCACTTGCCACACCCAAAAAAGACTCCAGACATTGCCACATGTTCCCTGGGGCAAAATAGTCAGGGTAAGACCCACTGGCTTTGCTCCTCTTAGAATTTTTAATCAGAGTCTCAAAATTGAACACTGCAGATTCGGTTTTATTCAGAGACCACCATCCTATTTCAATTCAATATTTTCACACCCTCACTCATTTATTCAATCATTCATTCATTCATTCATTCAGTGACTGTATTACTCAGCTTTCCAATTTCTGGGACACAACCTCCAACACCCACAACTTAAAGAAGGAGAGGTTTGATATTGTTCACAGTTTCAGGGGATTCAGTCCATGGTCAGCTGGCTGCAAGCAGGAACATCACAGCGGAGCGGCAGAGGGGAGCAAAGCTGCTCAGTCCACAGCAGCTTGGAAGCAGAGCAGGGAGCAGCACCAGTTCACCAAAGGCCTGGAAGCTCCCTGCAGCCCTTGGTACAAGGCTGCCCTGGACACCTGAAGAAACTGGGGTCTGACATCCACAGGCAGTGACCACAAAGGACAAACCTACTTGAGCAGGATGGTGCTCTTCAAAGTGCACGCCAAGTTCCTTCTTCTTTCTCTTTTATTTCATGCAGGCTACAGGCCTGTTGCTTGTAGAAGGGTGAGTCTTCTCCCCTCAGCTTGCTAGCCTAGAGCCAGTCGTCTCTGGATTGATCTCCTGGAGTTTGTCACATTGCCACAAATGCGGAGTCTGAGTTCTGGTGCCAGGAACAAAAAGGGACAGTTGTTGATAGGCAAAGTCTCAATAACCATGTATGTCAAATCATTCATGCTTGACACACTTAGTGAATGTTAATTGAATGAATAAAAGATTTTACTAATTAGCTTAGGCGATCATAAGAAAATACCCAAGCCCAGGTGAATTAAACAACAGAAATACATTTTCTCAGTCTGAGATCAGGGAGTCCGTATAGTTGGGATCATTATAGTCAGTACAGAAAGTAGAGTAAGGGCTCTCTCAGTATAGTCAGTAGAGTAAGGGCTCTCTCAGTATAGTCAGTAGAGTAAGGGCTCTCTGCCACCATCTTGCTGTGTGTGTGTGTGTGTGTGTGTGTGTGTGTGTGTGTGTGAGAGAGAGAGAGAGAGACAGA